GATATCGCCACCACTGGGGTCGACGGTACCACGTCTGCCCTGTTAGAGTCAGTGAATTAGGATATCGCCGCCACTAGGGTCGACCATACCACGTCTGCCCGTTGCAGTTTCCAGGACCAGGAGAGAGCGGTGACTTGACGTTCGACCAGCCGAACGCTATGAAGTGATAGGCAATATGCCGTTAAAGACATTCTTTATTTTGTTCCTTAATTAATTACATTTTAAACATTGTCTACGAGATATTTTTTAAAACGTTATAAAACCATGTTAACACGTGTTTTATGAAGTGGCAATACAGGGTGTTATAGTATACAGGGTGATAAATCATTTTAAAACAATAATTTTGAAGTTGATTCTTTTAACTTCTATCAATATCATTTTTTTAGGTGAAAAGTAGGTGAAGAATCTCAGCAATTAAATTTAAATTTTTAGTTTTTTGTATGTATGTTTTATTTTTTGAAAATTTGATTTATTTTTAAAATAAAATTTATTTTGTGTTTAAGTATGAGTTTTATTTTCTAAACTATGGTACGGCATTTCAGAAAAAATTTAATATGCCTTGAATATTCAAAATATCATGAATATAGGCATACATAGATATCCTCAGTAAATCCAGAGAATATGCCATACATATCTTTTGGCAGATAAAAACATATCGTGGGCATATGTTTTATGGTGACCTTGAATTTTCCTGCAATCTTCTTGTCATATGCAATTGCGGATATGGCATATCCATGGAATATAGGAGTATGCAGTTTAGATATGCATTGAATAGTTATGCAATATTTTTGTGCTGTCTGGGTAGTAATAGATGTAGAAGGATTTATAATGGTATACATTTAATACAATTGCTTACTTAAGTTCTGTTATTAATGAAATAAAATAAAAAACTAAGTAATAATGATGAGATATAAAAGCAATAACAAAACTTAAAATTTAAAATATAAAATGTCAGAACTGTCAACAACAACAATTACCTATCGGCTAAAAAGTGATGTGTCAAACTGACTGCAATCTAACCAATTAGAATTCTACAGAATTGCCAACTTAAATTCAAATCGCTCCTCTTAGTTTAAAAACAGAGTGTATTATTCTTTATAGGCACATGCATGTAAAAAGATTAATTAACAAGTTTGGGAACAGCGGAACTTCCTTGTCCACAGTATTTCGATCAAAAATAAAAAAGGTGTATTGAATAAATTTTAAAGTAGCAGCCGCCACTGCCTACGGTTCGAAGATAGGTGAAAAAAATGAATAAAACTGCAACGTTAGTTCAAATGAAAAATTTATTTTAATCAATTTATAAAAAAAATAGTTTCTGAAAATGTAACCTTACCAAAAATAAACCGCTATTGCCGATGAAACACAATGTAAAAAAATACATTTTTGTTTTCAACCGGAGGGCGTCTATGTAAACCCTAACCTAAGAAATTATAAATGCCTAAATCTACATTATATCATAGATCTACAATAATAAGGTATTTAAAATAGTACAATAATTTACAATTTAGTTTATTATATACATTTGCAAATATAGTATACAGGGTGAGTCACGATAAACTGTACATTCTTTGATAAATATAATATATTAAAACCTAATACCAAATGAAAATTGAAAATTATCAACCTTCCTCCGTTTATGAAATTTATCTTTGTAAAATTAAAACAGATGTTTCAAAAAATTGTTCAATTTTTGATAAAATTGACGTGAGATGAATCGTGATAGTCGTGACGTCAAAACAAAGTTGGTAAACTATATTTGTTTCTATACAAAACAACGATATCAGATACTTATTACTATCAACTGTCATACTATTGTAAACAAATACTTCACGTATTGACAAATATTTTTTGTTTGGTTCTGTATATAAAAACATAATATTCAAGAAAAATTATAACGCATTTATAGAGCAGTGGTTTTTCTTGTTCAAACTTAGCACATGAAAAAATTTAAATGTTAACAGTTTTTACTCTAGCATTTTATTATTATTATTATTGCACGTTCCACATGAATTTTCCATCTCGAAACTGTTCTAGTTCAAAAAATCTGTTCTTTTGTAAATTGTGCCAGCATTAAAAAATAAAGGGCTGTTAAAATTTACACCTTCAGACAACAAATATGAAATAGAAAATTGAGGGGTGAACCGCAGGCCAAAATTTATACGCTAAATTAGTCCCTTTTACTATCTGTATCTGTAACGGGACATTGCTTACTGAAACACCTTCATGTGATAAAATTTCACAATGATCCTTCCACGTGTAGACTCTCTATCGAAGAATAAAAAAGTTTATACCATGTTATCTTCGAATGCAAAGCTTTCGCTAGGCGGCATCTCACCAATTTCGGCCTAGAACCAGAAAGAACGCCCCAGGAATACTTGGTAGCGAACTTAGTTAAACTAACCAAAGACACAGCATAGAACTATTCCAAAGATAGTATCTGAATACGGGAAAAACAGGGGGATACAAGAATAGACCCAAGAGGCCGCAGTGTTCTGGGCCAAATCTTACCCTACCTGCTTACAACCGACATAGATAAAGAAGATGAGGGGGATGAGTTGCCCTATAACACTAGGCCCATTGTATATTCTCCTAAATTAATGAGGCCACTCTTAATTGGTCAGCCAGCTTATAGATTTAAAGAGCAGGCCAAAAATAGTATACCTAATTTCTTTTTACTGTCCAATTAAACTCTCTTTCATTTCCTCATTATTTTTCCTGAAATTCTCCTAATACTCAAATATCTCTAAATCTGTTAAATTACTCGCAGTTCTCTACGCTTATACACCTAATTTCCAGAGTTCAGCCGTTTTTTTGAAAAAAACCTGGATTTAGCTCACTGCAGTGAGTAATTATTCCATTTGGTGCTACATCAATCAATTCTTAAAAAATTATCAATGTATTTATAAAAACTATATGTTGCTTTTTGATGCTTTATCTAAAATTATTTTACATTTATTAAGGGAAACAAATTTTAATAGTGAACAAAGCTAAGCTTCTAAAGGGAGCAAACAAATTAGAAGATAATTTGAAATAAATACAACGTAAACAGAACACTAGCCTAAACACATTTAAAGTTTTGACAACTATGACATGAGAATATTGACACAGCCGTCCTCATGGTTAATTTGCTTCGTTTGATAAAAATGACGTCATACAATCACGGTTCATTCAAGGATGAGCTTAAAAATAATAAACACATCTAAAGTATTACAAACAGTTCAGTTTTCCCATTATTTACGTAATCTAAGATAATTGCAGATGGGGATTTGACAATTTAATTGTGTACCGTTTCTCGCAACAACCCTGTATTTTGAGATATTTTATTATATTCAGGCGCGCAGTCAGAATATCTATTGTGGTAAATATGATATAGTACATGTATTCCATTGTCAATTCTATCACAACTTTTGGTGAACTAAACAGCGAAAATCAAATGATAAATTAGAGCCACTTTACATTTCACATTACACATTTACACAATAACGTCTTTTCGTTCAACTGTTGAAATTGCAAAAAAGAGCAGCAGTTGCAATTAAAGACCTCGGTGCAAGAACTGGGAATTCCTTATTTAACCAAAATCATGATATTATATTATGCAATATACTAAATTAAAGATTGCGCGTATGTAGATAAAAGAATTAGGCAAATCCACTACATCTCTATTGAGTTATCATAGAAAAGAATTTGCATAAATAACTATTTCGGTGCAAGAATCAAACAACTCCAGGAGTTGTTCAAATCTTACCGTATGGTACACAGACCTATTTGCCTCTGTCAGTAAAGACGCTAACGTTTTTGCAGAAATGCAGTTGCAAAAATTAAAAATACAACATTGATCAAATAAACAAATTCATAAATGTCAGGTATTCCGAAACGGGACAGTTTTTTCTCGTAATATGTCCTTTGGACTAGAAAGGAATAAAAAGAAAGAGTCTATCCTATCATAATGGATCTAGTAAAAACTTCTAAAAAACTTTAGAGTGGATTCTGTGTAACAGGTTATGATCTTGATTTTTCCAGAACATTATAAACAAGTATTTAAAGATTTTAAAGTTGTAACTATTGAACTAAATGCGGAAAAATTTTCCATATCATCTTACAGGATAATGAAGGACCCAAAGAATGAAAACTTTATCGAGTTTTCTGCAAGCTCAGGAATATACACTTTTACAAAATTGAATATGAAGAAAAGAGAAAATATTTTACTCTCAATGGCGAATATGAAAGCATACATTACATTACCTAACTCATTGGGATATGATCGAATGGTGTTTATTTTTTGAATTATTATGATACATTTTCTCTAATTCGCTTGCATATTGGTAAACCTGTTTTCTTAACTAAGTTGTTATAGCTGTTTATTGACTTAAGCTATTTATTGTAAAACATAATTTATTACTAAACAATTATTTAATTAATGTTTATCTACTTACTTTAGAAGTAACAGTTCAAAAACTAGATCATAAAGAAGTTTAAAATAAAGAAAACTAAGAAAGTCATGTGTCACAAAATAATACGAGTGACCGTTTCCCTCTAAAAAACAACTATTCCTTTAGCAAATATCGCAGCAGGCATCGAATTATATCGAAAGAAAATCAGCAGAGATAAAAAATTGTTCTTCTTTTATTGACACGTTTTTTACATCATCAGTAATATTCAGCATACAGACATAATTTCTCTTGCGCTTAATAGGAATTGACGCAATTTTACTTGCTGCAAATAGAGTTGTAAACTGTAAAGTGGCTTTAAGCCTGTAAATATGAGAGCAACGTCATTGAACAAATATTTGTGTATCAGGAACGTAGAGAATAATTATGCATTATTTTTATAAAGATATACATAAAGATCCTCAAAATTATCAGAATAAACTTTATACAAATTTTTTTTACAAAAAAATAGTCCAGCGAACAAGGCGAAAAATTATTATTTATTTTACTAGACTAAAAGAGATTCAATTGTTTGTTTCGACATTACTTTATACACAAGAACAAAATATTTCACACAGTGTAATGTCCCCAAGCCTCTCCGTTTCCTTCCATTGTAGTGTAAGTGCCGACATTAGATGATCCACCAAATACGGGCCTCTGAGGCAAATATTGATAAGACGGTAAATACTGAGAGTTGTTTGAATAGTAACTAGACGGTGCTGACGAATATGCGTATACTCCAGACGAATTCGTTTGCAAGTATCTCTCTGATTTCACAACAGAACTAGGTTGAAGTTCGTGGTACCTGCTGAATGTGTTACTAGATGGTGTTGCTTCTGTACACAATCGCTTGCTTTTGTTGTTGTTATTGGTATCATCTTGGTAGTTTTCGTAAGGAAGATATTGGTCGAAATCGCTGCTGTCTAAACACTCATCTGGCATGTAACTGCTGTCGATTTCAGGTATTCTGTGATAAGAGTCAATCTCGAAGTTATGTTGCTCGCAGGACTTCAGCAGTTGCGAAGGTATGTTCGGACTGTTCGGTTGCGACGAGCATGTGGAAGGGGATGTTGAACTGTGACTCCTTGGACTGCAAGGGGATTCTTCTTGTTTCATTGTGCGGGTATAGGAATGGCTTGGTGGGTGCGGAATTTGGTGGACTGAATCGGTTGTGTTTTTGTTTTGTTTTCGCCTGCGCGGTTGGTATTTGTAATCGGGGTGTTCGCGTTTGTGGATCACTCGAAGGCGTTCGGCCTCTTCTATGAAAGGTTTCTTGTCGTTGTCGCTGAGAACTCTGAAACAAAGAGAATGTTGTTATTTATTAGTACTGTAAATGTTTGGATCTTCATGTATGTTAATAAAAAAGGAAGGGATCATATAACATTCGCCATTAAGGAATATATTTAAAGATTTTTGTGACGGTTTGTGCATCTGGTTTAAGAAAGTTGTTCAATGTAGTATCCCACATTTGTTTTTAGATACTATGGTAACGTTTATTATGTTTAATATGGCTCATATCGTTACTAAGTTAAATTATTTACTTTCAGTGAAATTATTATTAAATAATCAATGAGTTAAGTCAACAAGTTTGTATATTCCTTAGATAAAAGAGACCAGAGATATAACATACACCGGTGCAAATGTTGGAAATTTCTAAAGAAAGGTTAACGGAGTGGGGGAACTGGATGGAGACCCGAACTCTGTGACAGGAACGGACTTTGTTTATTAACATCATAATGAACTATTAGATTTATTTAAAAGATGTGTATTAGATTATAAAATAAAATTAACTTGATTTTTTAATATCAAACAGATGCCACGACATTTTATGTAAAAAGACCTTTTATAGAATATTTTTTTACTACAGTAAAATGTTGAAGTAAAATATTGTTAATAGAGCAAGAAATGGTACTCATTGTCTACGAGTATCAAAAAAAGCATGTGCGCAGGCGAATACTGCAAATCAAACCTTGTGAGTTGAACATTATACAGGGTGAGTCTGGAGGAGCGCATCAAACTCTAGGAGTATATTATACACGTGAAAATAATGTAAAAAAACTAATATGTTCTTATCCGATTTTCATTTGTTTTAGCATATTAACAAATAAACAAATTTACACATAAAAATTCTCTTAATCATAGCGTTCTTTCAATAAATGTTCAAAAATACCGACATTGACTTCTAAATAATCACATAAATTCGAAATTAAACGTTTAGTTACTGTTCACTGTACACTGACAGTTCATCAAAACGTCAGAATTATCAAATGCCTTTGAGCCTTGAACATATGGCATACTTTGATAATGTTAAAATTCAGAAGTGGAAAGCTAGATGAAAATTTTTAATTACGCCATAACTTGAAAACAAATGAAAATCGGATAAGAACATATGACTTTTTTTTACATTAATTTGACGTGTATAATATACTCCTAGAGTTTGGTGCGCTCCTCCCGACTCACCCTGTATATTTTCTACGGCTATTACATAATATTAAAAATTAGTCAAAATGAGAAAATGCTGTTTGGTATTGTAACCTCAGAAAAAGGTATATTAAAGTTTCTTTCTTTAGGAATATTAATTAATATAGAGGATGAGTCACATAAAACTCTAGAAATGCATATGTCTGAAACCAAATAACATTTTAAAATTTAAAGTAATTTGGTCGCTAGGGGTGGGTGGTTATCAAAATAAATTATCGATCATTGAAAATAATCGATTATTTTCGATTAATTGATTATTATCAAACAATCAATTTTTTTGTCGTATTTCTTTTAAAATCGACTACTTTTCTTTGATTAATTAAAAAGCTAATTAACCAATAAATCAGTGTTTACAAAAAATAATAAAATAATTATCTTTAAATAATCGAATATTTTCAAATAATTTATTTTTTTCCCTCTATTGGAACATATTATTCGATAATATTTGAACAATCGATTAATTAAAAATCGATTAAATGATAAGTAGATTTAAAAAAAACGAATTATCGATTATTTTAAATAATCGATTATTTATGATCAATCGATTATTATCAAATAATCTATTTTTATTATATTTCCTTTAAAATTGATAATTCGATTATTTTAAAATATCGAAAATATTGGATTATTCCAGACTAATCGCTTAATCGAAAATAATCGATTAATCGAAAATAACCAATTAATTAAGAAGCCGATTCCACGATAAATTGATTTTCCAAAAAAATAATCAAATTATCGATTATTTTCTAATGATCCTTTTTTCATATTTCCTTTAAAATTGAATGTTCTATTATCTTTGAAAAATCGGAAATAATCGATAAATCGAAAGAAATCGATTAATAAAAAGCTGATTAATCGATAAATCGACAATAGAGGGCTTCTATACAAAGGAAGTGCAACCAACTTAACAAAATAAAATTGACACTAATGACATAAGAAATCGGGTCATATAAAGAGGCTGTTTTAGTTTACTTTTTGGTTTTTCTTATCTACTTTTATGCCATTTACATAACATGTTGTACCCGTAAGGTAAAAAAGACTTTTCTTTACTACTAACATGAGAAAGCACCATTATTTACTCCATTCCTCTAATGAGAAGTAATATTTCTCACCCTAGGTAAATAATGATAATAAAAAATACCTAGGTAAATAATGAAACTAAATTTTATTAGTTTCATTTTGTTAATTTGACAACTAAACTCCCAGACTACTTGATATTTTGAAATATTTGAAAAATAAGTAGGAAATAACTGAAGCTGGGTTTATCAAATCTAATCAAATCAAATATGATAATAATATATATATATATATATATATATATATATATATATATATATATATATATATATATATATATATATATATATATATAGGAAATACCGCAAAAAAAAAGAGAGAAAAAAGCCTGAAGGGCAAACCGTAGACACGTGTTTCTGATTATTGGTCTTCATCAGTACGGTGCAGCCAAGTTCAAGACAGAATGGAACTAGCGATGGAATAAAAAACAAACAGGAGATCACTCAAGTGGCCAACCACACATTTGTGGCTTCGGCCAACAATCCCTGTGATTACAGGGAAGTTATTAGCGTCGCCACGGCGGCAGTTATAGCCATCATGGTGATGCATCCTAGCCCAAGGAAACTAAACATGAAAAGGTTTAGTGCGGTGAAGAATTGGCGACGCTAATAACTTCCCTGTAATCACAGGGATTGTTGGCCGAAGCCACAAATGTGTGGTTGGCCACTTGAGTGATCTCCTGTTTGTTTTTTATTCCATCGCTAGTTCCATTCTGTCTTGAACTTGGCTGCACCGTACTGATGAAGACCAATAGTCAGAAACACGTGTCTACGGTTTGCCCTTCAGGCTTTTTTCTCTCTTTTTTTTTGCGGTATTTCCCAATAACCCCTTTTTTCTGTAATTCTTCACCGCACTAAACCTTTTCATATATATATATATATATATATATATATATATATATATATATATATATATATATATATATATATCAGTGTAAACAGTAAAAATATATATTAACTAGTAAATTCAACACCGGCAATAGGCTTCAAAAATTATTAATTAATACCAATAAATCCATATCATTAAAATATCAAAAATGCAATGGGATATTTCCTAGAATCATACCAAAATTTGACACATGCCAAATTTTTACATAAATAAAGCCAGTCTGATTAGAAACACGCTCCAGTCTGCTTGATATTTCGAAATATTTAACAAATTGTTAGGAAATTACTTATGTCAAAATTAAAATTGCTAATATATTAATGATAGTAGTAAAAAAAATTCTATATATACCTCGGATGAGAAAACTATTCTTTACCTCGCACATTATATCCAGGATATAAAAGTGCTCGGTAAATAATAGCTCACTTCTCACCCTAGGTATATAATGTACTATTTAGTTTAGGGTATTTTACATTTAAAGGTTGAAAAAATTTGTCAGTGTCAGCTGTCAATTATGGTGATGATAGAACACAGGCGTAACCATAGATGGGCATAACGTAACTAGTGTTGTATATGGTTGTATAGTGTATGGAACTTGCTTTTGTAGCAGCATCATTTTTGCATTTGACATAAATATATAAAACCAAATGAAAAATGTTTAAAGAAACCGGGAGAAACATAAATAGACTATTAACAATAAGAAAATAAATCGCAATGCTACGCTTATGTTTTGACATTATCGAAAATAATCGATTAATTAAAAAACCGATTAAACAATAAATCGATTTTTCAAAAAAAATCGATTATTTTCAATCAATCGATTATTTTCATATAATATCTTTGCAAAATCGAAAATAATCGATTAATTAAAAAAAAGATTAAATGATAAATTGATTTTAAAAAAAAATCGATTATTTTCAATGAATCGATTATTTTGAATAAATATACTTTTTTTTGTATTTCTTTTAAAATGGATTATTACATTATCTTAAAAAAACGAAAATAATTTATTAAAAATAACGGATAAATCGATTTTCATAAAAAAATATCAGAATAATTGATAAATCGATTATTTTTGTAACTCAAATCAGTCGCTTGCTTTTATCCCAGCATTTAGTTTAAAAATTTAGAGATTCAGGTTTTTTGATCCTGTTATCTTTGAAACCGCATTCGATTGTATAATAAATAATAAATATTGCTAGAATTTGGATTTTTTTTAGTAAACGAAAATTTTGTTCGAGTTATTTATAATGTAACATTTTATTAACAATGTGACTACTCCCGTAACTTTAGTATTTTTTTTTGCTCATACTAAATCATATTGTGCGTTTTACTTTGTTTTAAGACTTAGGTTCGTATTTATAAACAGAACTCAGCTAAGTCGGACTTGGGTAAGTCGTAATTGAACTAAAATCGAAGTTTGGTTATATCGGGTGAATTAAGAGATGGGTAGTAACAAATCCGTAAATGTACTTAACAGTTACAGATTTGCTAATATCCATCTCTAAATTCCAGTGTAACACCAGAACGACCTGGAACCTTAGAGACTTCGATTTTCGTTCAAGGACGACTCAGCCAAGTCCGACTCAGTTGAGTTTTGTTTATAAATACGGACCTAAAGATTCAAATGTCACTTCCGATTTAGTCCCAAATAAGATGTACCTTGAAATTTTAAGTAGGTCATCCTGTATTTCATCTAATATTCTTATAAAAATACCTTATAAAAATTAAATTTCGCTAGCAGCTATGCATTTTTGCTTCTTATTTATCTACCAAAAAGGGCTAAAAACCACCTTTAGTAAATATTCTCATAAAACTACTTTTTAAAAACAAAATTTCGTTAGCAACAAT